CCAACTTCCAAATTCATTCCTCCCATTTTCCAGTTTTATTTTTCAGAGATATTTTCAATGAAATTACAGTTACAGTTTAGAAATTGTTATCACGCCGTTATACAACTGAACAGCAAATGATGGTAAAATGCATGTAAGAGCACGTGAACCAGGGTTTCGTCTACAATTGAATGCGTTTTAGGTAAAGCGAAGTCATCTGCTACTGGAGTCGCGTCATGGAGCAATGGACTATGAAACGACATAAAAAATCTAGCTTATCGGTAGACGTCGCGCAGAAATCAGTTCATTCGACAGTTCCTTTATCCCACGCAAACTAGCCCATTAGAGGCGGGGCAATAAAATCAGCCTCTAATTCGGTCCTACAGTCAATCTGTTTACAACGACTATTTTGTGAAAACTGTTAAATTTTACATATTACTTTCGATATACTTCCTCAACGGCTAAACTTTTAATTGACTCTCTGATCGTGGAGACTTCTACAACTAGCAATAAAGTGGCACATTTAGTTTGTTTCAAGCCTCCCTGAGTGTACTCCAGAGCTGAGGTAACACTGATTTGGACCTTTGGCAATTAGTTGTTATGAATGAGAGTTGAGAACCTATGGCATTTTAGGCCATATTTTTTGGTATTAATAGACAAGACGATAAAATAGGATAGTGCAAGCATATGACCACATCAAGTTACAATCACCCGTTAAAAATTGCAAGATCGTCAATTGTAGATTGCCTCTAGGACCTCCCAGTACCAGAGGTCTATAACCCATTAAGTCATTCATCTTATTCCAAATTCATTACCCTCCAATACTCTTATCAAGAATTCAGGCGTGACTGAATGCAATAAAGGTGATGTTAAGGAATTCAATGCACCCCTAGTCCTAGCAAAGCCCTCAAAACACACCGTTTGGGTACACAATATAAGCAGAGCATTTTTCAGAAAAAAATCGGGATAGGACGTTTTTTTGGACTTATCAAACGCGTTGTACGAGCAATTAGCCCTATTTTAATAATCCGTATTTGACAATTGTATTCATTTTTAAAATACTTATTAGCAAAAAGTGTATTATTGAAGAATAAATCTGCAAATTTGCAAGAATCTTAAGAAATTAATTTCTGACACAGCTGTATGTATGCGAAAAGGGTGCTTACCACAACAGGAATTTTGCTTTTTTGAGAGCCTGTGCTTGAGTACGACCAAACGATAGGTTTCTCGTTTACCTCGAAAGAGGATATTCTGGTAGGATCGTACGGACGCATTCTCACGATAATGTAAGTAAGCTCTGCGTTTTCTGTTCCCGCTTTATCCCTATCTGTAGCGTTCAGACGCCCAATCAGTGTTCCAGGAGGAGCCGACTCAGAGATGGCGAAGTAGAAAAAGGACCCAATCTCAGGTGCGTGATCATTGACGTCAGTCACCTCGAGAGAGACAGCTATGGTGGTAGAGAGACGAGTCCTACCCCTCTTCCCATCTGTTGCAATGACGGAGAAGTTGTGTCGCTCAGCTATCTCCCTATCAGGACCCCCAGGTCCAGACACTACCAACCATCCACTGTCGGCATCCACCTTTAACCATCCAGGCATGTCGTGTCCCGCAGTCCACTCCACCATTGCGTTCTCCCTTTCGTCGCAGTCGACGGCTTTAATTTGACAAACCTTCATGCCTTGCTTCACATTTTCCACTACCTTGCATGCCACTGTGATTCCGTCTGAAAGAAACTCATTTTCTGTGGGAGAAGCCTCAGGATGGCAGTCGTTTTCATCCAAAACACGTACAAAAATATTCACGACAGAGGTCAGTCGTACTTCATTTGGATTAGTTGCCCCCTCACCATCAATGCAGATAAGACGGAGATCGTGTGAGCTCTGTGATTCACGATCTAAAGGACCTGCTGTTAGAATTTGATATCCCATGTTATTTTGTTTGGTAGTCCATTCAGGAAAGGTGGTTTTAATCAAACGGAAGTAAGGGTTAGAGCCATTTTTTGAGGCGATTTCAATCAGATCACATTCTACCCGGCCTCCACTACCCGTGTCTGGATCCTCCACGGTCACTGTTGCGACAGGTTCGAGAGCTGGGAGGTTTTCTCTCACACTCAGCATCTTCTTACCGCCTGGACTAAACGATTGCATTAGGGATATGGGAAGTACGGTGATTTTTGGATTTGAATCATTAATATCGTGAATGTACAAAACAACCTCGCCAATCGAGCTGCTACGCTGCTGTGACTCGTCTTTTGGAGAATCCACTGCTTTAACAAAAAACCGAATGCCTGCACCTTCATTGCCATCTGGACTTATCTGTTTTAGGGGCAGTTGACGAGCAATAGCCTCATAATCGATGGGATAACGCCTTAGCCGGAGAACACCTGTACGAGAATCTAGATGCAGAAAATTGTTGAGAAGATTCTCCCCTTCCAATGGCTTGTCAGTACCCATCATCATGAGATACTGAATACGTGCGTTTGGACCAATGTCCCCATCTGTGGCTTCAAATTTCAGAATGTGGTTATTTCGTCCAACACCTCCAGCAGTACCCTCTTTCAAATCAATTTGAACTGGTTGGTTGAATTTGAATTCCGGAGGGCTAATCCATTCAGGGCAGTGATTATTAATATCCAAGACATGAACGCGAAGATGACAAACTGTCCTATGGGAGGGACTATAATCACTGGGTTCGTCGGGACTATCCCAGACTGCATATTTTACCAAGTATTCTCCCAAAAGTTTAGAACTTTTTGAATTCACAGATGATTGCCTTTTAAAGGGGCGATTTAAGCGTAGTTGAATGGTGACCTTGGACCACGGCCGTTGGGTCAGCGTAGCTTCTGACAGATCAAGAGAAAATTGATCACCAGCGTAATCATGCTGTGAAGTTGACAATTGACGGAAGCCATAAATGCCGTGATTGGAAGTATCTGCATCTGTAATTGTCCAAGAAGCAAGAACTTCGTTCATGTGAACATCTTCAGACACCTCTATGGTTGGGAGGGAGAATTGATCATCCTTGAGGGAGGTAGATGGGGGATGACAAATTGGGCGATTGTCATTTGTGTCAACAAGAAAAAATCTCACGAAAACAGTGCGCAAACGAGTTCTGGAGTTGTGCTCCGCTGTTTGAAGAGCGTTTAATTGCAACCGAAGCAGACATTCGTCCTGTTCTTCATTTCCACAAATGCTTTCGCGATCAATTCGTTTAATTACAACCAAATCATGATTCGGTGAGACTCTAAAGTACTCATGCTGCTCAGCAGGGATCAGTGTAAATATTCGTGACTCGGAAACAAAGTGGTGCTGAGAATAATTTTGACGAGCGTCATGCAAAGCAACTGCTTTGTTCAAGTTTAAAACTACATGTCCACTGGGCAATTCTTCCACTAGCTTTTCTTCAATCACCACTGTGTCAGACAGATTAACAGCATGATCTTTGGACAGAACACAGGAAAGAGGAAGCAGCAATCCGGCAGTAATTATAATGCAAAGGAGGGTGTGCATGGTTATAGAATACGACATAGGCACAAAATGACGATTAAGCAGACATTGTGAACAGTCCAGGTTCATGAGCATCACTTTAGCTCGTTGGCGTGCAGTGATTGGACCCACTTAGCTGACCAATTAGAGGGCGGGCGCCAGGCTGTGAGCAATCGGCGTTCCATCCTGTGAGCCCGCCACAAACGCAGTAGCTGAGGCAGGGAAACAATAGTTCTCTATTTTATCCCT